CTGCTCACAGGTTTGTCTTCACCGACGATGGCTCGGTCTGGTATTCCTTGGAATCCAGGCTGGGTCGTTGGAGATGCTAGGACGGAGACCAACTGAGCTGACGGATGCNAANGCAAACGTCAAGCGAGATAAGGTGAATCACGCCCGCGAGTACGATNGGGTACTGGCGGCACTCGTGCTTGCACGAGGTGGAGTGATAGATACCTGGTTGATCCTGCCAGTAGTCATATGCTTGTCTCAAAGATTAAGCCATGCATGTCTAAGTGTAAACAAATTTATACAGTGAAACTGCGAATGGCTCATTAAATCAGTTATAGTTTATTTGATGGTTCCTTGCTACATGGATAACTGTGGTAATTCTAGAGCTAATACATGCTGAAAAGCCCCGACTGGCAACGGAAGGGGTGTATTTATTAGATACAAAATCAACGCTTCTTTTAGCAGCGCTTGGTGAATCATGATAACTTGTCGAATCGCACGGCCTCGAGCTGGCGATGCTTCATTCAAATATCTGCCCTATCAACTTTCGATGGTAAGGTAGTGGCTTACCATGGTGACGACGGGTAACGGGAAATAAGGGTTTGGTTCCGGAGAGAGGGCCTGAGAAACGGCCCTCAGATCTAAGGAGTGCAGCAGGCGCGCAAATTATCCCATCCCGATTCGGGGAGATAGTGACAATAAATAACAATGTAGGGCTCTTTTGGGTCTTGCAATTGGAATGAGTACAATTTAAATCCCTTAACGAGGATCAATTGGAGGGCAAGTCTGGTGCCAGCAGCCGCGGTAATTCCAGCTCCAATAGCGTATATTAAAGTTGTTGCCGTTAAAAAGCTCGTAGTCGAACTTCGACTCGGACGAGCCGGTCCGCGTCTTTTGTACGTGTGTACTGGTCACTCGTCCGGGTTTACCTCTTGGTGGGCGCCGATGTCGCTTCAGTGCGTCTTGTCGGTTTGCTCCGCTCAGACGTTTACTTTGAAAAAATCAGAGTGTTCAAAGCAGGCCGATTTAGTGCCCGAATACATTAGCATGGAATAATAGAATAGGACAGCGTCTCTGTTTTGTTGGTTGCCTTGGAGATGCCGTAATGATGAATAGGGGCAGTTGGGGGCATTCGTATTCCGTTGCTAGAGGTGAAATTCTTGGATTGACGGAAGACGGACTACTGCGAAAGCATCTGCCAAGGATGCTCTCATTGATCAAGAACGAAGGTCGGGGGATCGAAAACGATTAGATACCGTTGTAGTCTCGACAGTAAACGATGCCGACTGGGGATCAGTGCAGGTTTTATTGATATGACTGCATTGGCACCCAAAGAGAAATCTTTAAGTCTAGGTTCGGGGGGGAGTACGATCGCAAGGTTGAAACTTAAAGGAATTGACGGAAGGGCACCACAAGGTGTGGAGCCTGCGGCTTAATTTGACTCAACACGGGGAAACTCACCAGGTCCAGACACAAAAAGGATTGACAGATTGATAGCTCTTTCTTGATCTTGTGGTTGGTGGTGCATGGCCGTTCTTAGTTGGTGGAGTGATTTGTCTGGTTAATTCCGATAACGAACGAGACCTTGACCTGCTAAATAGACCCGTCGGCCTTGTGCTGACGTTTGGTTCTTCTTAGAGGGACTGACATCGTTTAGGTGTCGGAAGTTTGAGGCAATAACAGGTCTGTGATGCCCTTAGATGTTCTGGGCCGCACGCGCGCTACACTGACTGATCCAGCGAGTTATTTTACATAATCCTTGGCCGGAAGGCTTGGGTAATCTTGTGAAACTCAGTCGTGATGGGGATAGAGCATTGCAATTATTGCTCTTCAACGAGGAATACCTAGTAAGCGTTTGTCATCAGCAAGCGTTGATTACGTCCCTGCCCTTTGTACACACCGCCCGTCGCTACTACCGATTGAATGGCTTAGTGAGGTCTCCGGATCGGCTTTGCGGAGCGGGCGACTGCACTGCTTGGCTGAAAAGTTGAACGAACTTGGTCATTTAGAGGAAGTAAAAGTCGTAACAAGGTTTTCGTAGGTGAACCTGCGAAAGGATCATTATTGAACTACACTTGGGGAAGGGTCTGTGCGCGAGAGCGGCAGGTCTTCTCTGTACACACGTGCACTGTCTCTTTTTCACACCAACGAGTCGAGGATGAAAAATTATACAAAAAAAGAAAATAAAACTTTCAGCAACGGATCTCTTGGTTCTCGCATCGATGAAGAACGCAGCGAAATGCGATACGTAATGTGAATTGCAGAATTCAGTGAATNATCGAATCTTTGAACGCACCTTGCACGATCTGGTATTCCGGATCGTATGCCTGTCTGAGTGTCATGACTCTCTCACCCTTGCTCTCTCTTTGCGAGCANGGCGTGGATCNTGGCGGATCCCGGTGTGGNCNANCACACCAGGACTGCCTAAAAGCCGAGTGCGATCTTGCGCCGACGTGATAGACCATCTTCGTCCGTGCGAGCACTATAAGCCGTCCGAGTGAGGACACATGATTTAGACCTC